GGCCCGGGCGATGATCCCGCTGCTGCCGCCGCCGCCGCCGCCGGGAAGAGCCACATGGAGCCCTGCGCCCCCGTGCCCGGCTGCACTGCGGGCGCCTGCCCCCCGCACTCCGCGTGTGTGCGGGTGTGGAGCGGGGGCGCGGGCAGGGCACTTGGACGTGTCACCAGCAGGACGGGCAATGGTTTCGGAGCCCCAGGCCGGGCGCCCCCCGGGGAGACCCCTTCCCTTCCCCCGCGGGCCCCGCTCACCTCGCCCAAACTTTGCGAGCGGGAGGTCCCCGCGTGAACACAAGTGGCTCACGCCGCGCACGGCGGCAGGCGGGGCCGGGCGGGGGGAGGCCACGGCGCCGGGCATTTTCTTCCCCCTTTTTGTACAGGGGAGGAGAGCACACGCACACCCACACACTCACACGGACTCCTAGCGAGCACACAGACACTCCTAGCTCTGGGTGCGTGTGTTTCTCTGTGTAGGCTCACACTGACACACACACACACACACACACTCCTAGCTCTGTGTGCATGTGTAGTTCTCCGTGTGCTCACTCCTAGCACACACACACCTAGCTGTGTGCTCAGAGACACAGAGACTCCTAACACACACACCTAGCTCTGTGTGCTCAGACACGCAGACTCCTAGTGTGCGCACGCACACGCACACCTAGCTGTGTGCTCACAGACACAGAGCCTCCTAGCATACACACACATGCACACCGAGCTGTGTGTGTACTCAGACACACACAGACTCCTAGCACACACACACACACACCTGGCTCCGTGTGTGCTCACAGACACACAGGACTCCTAGCACACACACACCTAGTGCACACACAGACTCCTAGCACACCACACACACACACAGACTCCTAGCTCTGTGTGTGTGTGTGTGTGTGTGTGTGTGTCTCTGTGTGAGGTGTGAGTGCATGTTGTTGCCTCCCCTCCTTCCCTGGCATCGCTTCATCCCCGCCGGGCGGGCCCGCACAGCCGGGCTCTCCCGGCCCGGCCCGGCCCGGCCCGGCCCGGCCGTGTCCCCGGCCATGCAAGTTTCATACATGGCTAATGCAAGGCGCGCGCACAGAGAGGAGGAAGAGAGCGGCGAGGAGAGGAGGAGGGGAGCTGCTCGCTGTAATTTCCCAGCAGGCGAGCCCAGCACCAAACGCCCGGCTCCCCCCACCAGCCGGGCCGGGCCGGGGGCGCGG